CCATGGCTGTTCTGTGACCCTGGCCTGTGGTGTCCGCCTACAGTTTCCAGCAGGAGCCACCACCACGCCCATCACCATCCACTATCGATTATGGTTGCCCGAGCCAGGCCTGGTCTCTCTGGGACCTCATGACTTCCTGCTTAGTGGTGTCCTGGAGCTGCAGCCACATGGGGTGGCTTTCCAGCAGGCATGTCCAAGATGGGTAGGGGGCAGGATGGTGGCCTAGGCCTGGCCCCATCTCACAAACTACTGTTGCCTGACAGGATGTGAGCTTATGGCTGCTCTTTGTCCCTCCACGAGTCCATCGCTGTCGTGAGGTAGTTGTGAGGACACGGAGTGACAACATCTGGAATGATCTAGAGACCCACCTGGAGGAAGAGGCACCCAAGGTGACAGCTGCCTAGGCCCTTGGGAGTGAGGGGAGAGGAGCAGCTTGCCCTGACACCACCCACCCCACCCACTGTCTTCTGCCCTGACTCTGTCTTCCCGTGTGTTCCAGAGGCTCTGGGCTCGCTGCCAGGTCCCCCACTTCTCCTGGTTCCTGGTCGTGCTACGCCCAGTATCCAACACTTGCCTGTTGCCACCAGAGGGAGCACTTCTGTGCTCCTCAGGTCATCCTGGGGTCAAAGTCACTTTTCCCCCTGGGGTCACAGAAGAGCCTCGGCAAGTCTCCATGCAGGTATTGGCAGGGCAAGTGGTGCCAAAGGGTAGCAGGAGGTGCCTCAGCGTACAGGAAGGCACTGAAATGGTTCTCTGTCCAGGTAGTGCATATGGCTGGACTAGAGCTGAGAGCCCTTCTGGAAGAATCAGAGGCATCAGTAAGCCCCTTGCTGTGCCTTTCACAGAGCGGCCCCCCCAGCTTCCTACAACCTGTCACTGTGCAGTTGCCCTTGCCTCCTGGCGTTACAGGTGAAGCCACATGCCACAGGACCAAAGATGGGTGATTAGAAGGGGAAACAACATTTAGAGGGGCTTTAGCCTTCTGCCACTTCCTGTCCAGGCTTCAGTCTAGACCGCTCCCACCTACATTTGCTCTACCGGACACCCCTGACAGCCACCTGGGATGACATCACCACTCAGGTGGCACTGGAATTCACCCACCTGTATGCACGCTTCCAGGTCACACACTTCTCCTGGTTAGTGTCCCCTAGCTTCCGCAGAACTCCTCCTGCCCTTCGTCTGTATGGCTACGCCTCAACTCTGGCACTTCCAGGTACTGGCTCTGGTATACTACCAAAACCTGTGTGGGGGGCCTGGCCCGGAAGGCCTGGGAGCGGCTGCGACTGCACCGTGTGAACCTCATTGCGCTGCAGAGGCGCCGAGACCCTGAGCAGGTCCTGCTGCAGTGCCTGCCCCGGAGCAAGGTGCGGAAGCACGGAAACATCGGAGTGACCTGAAGGCCAGGGTGGGCACAAAGCTTTGGCCTTTAATCCCTTGTGGGTGCCCCACAGGTAGATGCCACCCTGAGTCGGCTGCTGGATCGCTACCGTGGCCCTGAACCCTCTGAGACTGTGGAGATGTTTGAGGGTGAGAAGTTCTTTGCAGCCTTTGAGCGGGGCATTGATGTAGATGCTGGTAGGTCTCTCTTATGCAGGGTGCCCTGGGGAGTGACACTTGGGCCCCTCCTACTGAGTTTGCTTCTCTCCCAACCCCCCACAGACCGTCCAGACTGTGTGGACGGCAGGATCTGCTTCGTCTTCTACTCACACCTGAAGAATGTGAAGGAGGTATACATTACCACAGCCTTGGACCGTGAAGCTCAGGATGTTCGAGGACAGGTGGGCCGATGTGTCAGTATCTTGGATGGAGGTATCTAGATCTGAGGTCAGAGCTCTGAACCCCACATGACCCTTCCTCAGGTGTCCTTTTATCGGGGTTCACTTCCCGTGGAGGTGCCTGAAGAGGCTGAGGCTGCCCGGCAGAAGAAGGGCACAGATGCGTTGTGGATGGCCACCTTGCCCATCAAGCTACCGGTGAGGCTGGAGAGACATAAGCTGACAAGAGGAGATAGTCTCAGGGTGACCAAAGACAAGAGAATGAGTCCAAGCTTACTGTATCCTTGCCTCCTGACAGAGACTCCGGGGAGGCCAGGGGCATGGGCAGGGGACTGACTTCTCCTTGATGCCTCTGAACCTGGGTGATGCGGAAACTGGATTCCTGACACAGAGCAACCTGCTGAGTGTGGCCTCACGTCTAGGTCCTGACTGGCCAGCTGTGGCCCTGCACCTAGGCATGTCCTACCGTGAACTACAGCGGATCCGGCATGAATTCAGGTGAGCTTCATGAGTTCTAGTGATCCTGCTGACTCCCAGCTTCAGGTTCAAGGCTGACGTCTCCCCCACTCTCCACCCCTATACACTAGCTAAAAGCTTTCAAGGAGGTGGGGATGGAGCAAGCACCAGTCTGGGGAAGGAAGGTCTGGTCACCAGCCCGAGTAACTTTTGAGATGTATTGAGCCTTTGTGTGTATTCCTGGGCAAAACACCTTCATCGCCACCCCTCCAGGGATGACCTAGATGGACAGATCCGTCACATGCTCTTCTCTTGGGCTGAGCGCCAGACTGGACAGCCTGGAGCTGTGGGACACCTGGTACAGGCCTTGGAACAGAGTGACCGGCAGGATGTAGCTGAAGAGGTACGCGCCATCTTGGAGCTTGGCCGCCACAAGTACCAGGACAGCATTCGGCGGACAGGGCTGGCCCCTGAGGAATCTCTGCCTGGCACCTCGGCTTCACAGACTCCAGAGTCTGCACAGGCGTAGGCTTACAGACTTGAGATAGCCTTAAACTTGACTTGGCCAGTGGGCGGAGCCCTATCCTTCTACCTCACCTGTGTGGTACAGTGATACAAAACCCCCAGCATACAAAACCCCCCTCACTGTCTAGCCCAAGCTAGCCTCCAACTTGGAGAGAGTGCATCTCAGAGATTGTTTTACTTAAACGATAGAGAGCAGGTTACCTAGGTGATCTGAAGCCCAGTCCCTGTGTGTGCCCATACTTGCTACCATGCTGGGCCTTCCTGCTAAGATAGGGGCAGAGAAGGCCTGGAGAGATGACTCAACAGTTAGCAACGCTGGCTGCTGCTCAGGGAATCCATGTTCAGTTTCCACTACCTACCTGATGGCTCATGACAGTCTGTAACTCCAGTTCTGAAGGATTGACACCTTTCTCTGGCCTCTATAAGACACCAGGCGCACGTGGTGTGCAAACATGCATGCAGGCAAAACATCCATACATATAAAATAAAAGCTATTTATTGTGTGTGTGTGAGAGAGAGAGTGTGTGTGAGACAGAGTACCTTTGTCATTCTCCCCATCCATGTGGGTCCCCAGGAATGAACTCAGGGTCATCAGGCTTGGTTGTAAGCACCTTTGCCCAATGAGCCATCTCTAGGCCCTCACGTGTACTATTCCCCGGGGTAGGGAGGAACCATTCTACATAGTAACCCTGCAGCAGGTAAGGATACAAAGTCATCTGTGACAGAATGGTGCATAAGCCCTGCCCACCAGGGTCTTATGGGCGGTGTCTAAGGAGCATCTATCATAAAGCTCCAGGACCAAACCTTTATCAGACCATCCCATCCCCACGCTTCCTACTACCTATTCTCAGTCTATTCTGGCTTGAGGTAAGAACAAGGGAGGGCCTAGGGATACGCTAGAAAGCCCACTCCCCCAAGGATGGCCTGAGGCTGTGGTAGTGGCCTTGCCGGCCGGGAGGGGGAGCCGATAGCAGCAAAATCTTAGGGCGGAGCGGGCGCGCCTCCGCGAGACGCCTCCCCGCCTAGGTGCAGGCCCGGCGCGCGGCACAGCGGGGAGGCGATCTCGGCGGCGGCAGTGTGGTGAGTCCTAGCCGGTCAGTTCCCGTGGGGCCCACCCAAATCTGGCTGGGTTGCAGGGAGGAAAAAGGGTGGCATTGGTGGCTGGGAGAGGTGACATCTGCGCAGACACTGTGGAGCCTGAACCGGTGGGTACCTCCACCGACCGGCTGTCTCTGGGTGTGGAAGGCCGTGCTCGGTCCCGGCTCTGCCGGGCGCGCTCCCCGCGCACACGTGTCCCAGCAGAGTGGGAGCTCCAGAGCTGAGGCTGGAGTTCTTTCTGCGGGGGGTGGGGGTGCTGCACACGTGAGAACCCACTGGACTTGCGTGGGTACATACATGGTCAGAGTCCGCGTAGTCTGGCTAGAGATAACGAGGCCAGCTGAGCCCGGACCGTGGGGTAAAGGGCATGATCTGGCTGGAACAGAGGATGTGCCTATACTGCTTTTCCTTTGTAGGACAGCTGGAGTACCTTTCTGTGGGAAACCTTTTTATAGCCCTTGTAGCTAGCAAGACAAAGCTAACCTCCCTAAGAGGAAGGGGCAAGGGAGACTGGATTGGGGGGGAAGGGCGCTCTGGTGGTGAGGCTCAACCCCAGCCCAGACACAAACCCAGCCCCTTCCCCCCACCCTCTCTCTCAGCTCTTTGGAGCTGGCTGTTGTTCTGGAATTCTCTGTAGACCAAGTTGTCTTTGAACTCACAGAGATCCACCTGCCTCTGCCTCCCGAGGGCTGGGATTAAAGAAGGGAACCAGGATGCTTTTCTTTTAGGTAGGAAACGGGCAGCTTTATTCGTAAAAAATCGGGAAGAACGTGTATGGAGCTATTAGCCTCTATATGCTAACCTGGCTTTTCTCAGTTGGCCTGTGGCTTGACTGGGGAAGAAGGCAGAAGCTCTGGATCCTCAGTGGCCTGACTAGACAATCAGGTTTCTATGGTAATATAGACAGTGCTGAGGAGCCCTGACAGCTGTCTCAAACTGATGAGAGTTAAAGAACACACACACACAAGCTAAGAGTGATGGCACACACCTTAAATCCTAGCACTCAAGAGGCAGAGCCAGACAGATCTCTAAATTTGAGGCCAGCCTGGTCTACAGAATGAGTTCCAGGACAGCCAAGGCAATCGTCTCTCAAAAAATCCTAAATCAAAAACAAACTCTAGGAGTTGGGGAGGCAGAGAACAAACCAGAGGGTTCCCTTTGCCTGTTCCAGGCAGCAGAACCCCTGTTTTCTCTGGTGTTCCGCCTGTTTTGTTTAGTTCTGGGTGCAGGGCTGACTCAGCCCTGGGGATCTCAGTGCCGCCTGGCTCTTCCCCCATGGACTTCAGACTGTCTGTCTGACTTCCAGGATACACACAACACCCAGGTCCCCAGATCGCAGATATGAGGGGAGGTAGCATCTGAGGGACAGCAGGCTGAAGGAAGAGGCATAAGGAAGGCTGGGGCAGCAGAGGTTGCTGCTATAGCTAGTTTACACTTGGAGCATGGTATGGAGTAAGAAATCAGACTACAGTTCAGAGGTCAGAGGTCAGGCCTTCACCACACACAAGGGCTAGGAGGGACAGGTACTCTTCCACTGAGGCCCCTGGTATGCAGAGGTCAGAGGGCACCTGGAGTACTGCCTCCACCTCCGTGCCCTCTGGTCCCACCAGGTGAGTAGGGCCTGTGCTTGGTGGTGGGTGGCCTTTGAAAGTCAAGCATCCTTTTTTTGTCCTTTCCAGAGAACAGGTCTACTTTCCTGTGCCCTAACCTAGCGTTCCCTGATAGGTACACCCAGATCTCACGGCACAGTGGTTGTTGACCCATTTCTCAAGAGCACATACTGACAGGTCCGTACAGAGTGTCCCATTCCCCAAGGCTCCAGGGCTGTAGACCAATCTGTGCTTATTCCAGATAGAAACCTACTGAGTGGCCTGAAGCTGGGGTCCCTGTGGGTAGGCAACCTGGTTGGTTTGTTTCCTTCTTTAGCATAGAGTCTGGGCCCAGCCCCAGACCCCCAGAAGTTGTCTTACCCCTCTCTTCCTTTTCCCATAGCTGCAGAGATTACCATTTAGCCCAAAGTGAAAGAGAAAGTCCTCCCCCCCCAGGCCCGCCCCGCCCCTCAGCCAATCCCTGTAGGCTTTTGTCTCCTCCCCCTGGCCAGCCTCTTTATCTCCTCTGTGAGCTTAGTTGTTGGAGCGGCGGAGGAGCAGTTGTCCGCACTCTGGGGTGCACTCAGGGTGAGCAGGACCCCGTGGATTGTGGGGGGAGAGACGGGTAGTAGGTCCAAAGTCACAACTCAGTCTGGGGGCTTTTTAGCATGATGCAGCCATGTGACCCCATGTGGCAGCACTGAGGATACTAGCCTGTGTGTGACAGCTGACCTCTGAGGGCTCAGGAAAAAACACAGGGAGAACCAGGACTGGATTTTATGATTGTGTCCCTCCTGGGAGACCCCCACCCCCACCCTGAGGCAGGCGCTTGTTGTCTCTTCTCTCCCACTCTAAAGTTATGGGATATACCAGCCACAGATGCTTCAGGAGGCCAGCACCCCTCTCCCTCCCTCTTCATACCATTTATTCTTGACCTCTCTTCCCCAAATCCTTATCCCCAGGCTCCTGTGCCTTCCAGGAGTGAAATACTTCCCTTGGGAAGTGGGAAGGAAGGTGGACAGCCAGCTCGGTGTGGGCGGGGATCTTGCTTCTCTATGGGAAGGGGCTCTGTGGCTCAAAGTAAACTGCTATGGAACTGCGTCTGCTCCGGCCAGGAGCTTCCCAAAGGAAGAACCACTACCTCCCCATCCCACTGAAAATGGCAGGTGCTAGCTGCCTCTGCTCAAGGATGGGAACTGGTTACCACAGCTCAAGTCTGGGGTCCAAGTACCACTGCATTAAAAGGCATCTGGCCCTTTAAAAGCTGGAGCTTGCCTTCTGTGCGTGAGCAAATGCGTGTGAGCGGTGTGAGCGTGAGTTCCTGGCTGCCTGGGAGGACGCCACGGGGAGGGCATTGAAGTGAAGCCAGGTGGCCCCAGGGATGGGTGGCCTCCCTTTCTTCCTCCACTCACCCCTCAGTGTATCTTCAGGGTACCTTGATGGCTGCAGCCTGAATCATGGGGTCTAGGGAGTGAGGGGCTTCAATCCCTTGTGAGATGGTGGGTGGGTAGAGGGCTTCTTTTTTTGATAGGCCCCTTTTATCACTCATTCTGTCCTTTCTTTCAGGTGGCAGAAGTCTTGAAATTGCTCTGAAGGTGAGGACATCCCCTCCCCCTCAGCAGCCACCACCGCCAGCCACCCACATCGTCCTCATCCGCCCCTCCCCATCAGTGCCTCCACTTACATCGCCCGCCCGGCCTGAGCCAACCTCCTGCTTCACTTGGTGTAAATGGCTGATAAGCAGATCAGGTCAGAGGGACCCCAATCCCTGGGCTTTCGGTCTTGGCTTTCACCCCCTCCCCAGCATGACCTCCCTACCCCTCCATCCTGTGGTTGAAGATGTTAATCCTGACACTCGACCCTGCATACACAGCCTGCCGGCCAAGCTCATCAATGGTGGCATCGCTGGGCTAATCGGGGTCACCTGCGTGTTCCCCATCGACCTGGCTAAGACACGGCTGCAGAACCAGCAGAATGGCCAGCGCATGTATGCCAGCATGTGAGTGACAGCTGCCTAGCAGGGGTGAGGGTGCAGCTTCCACCTTTGATCTCTGCTCCTGCACCCCTGGATTTGATGAAAAGGAAAAATCACAGGGCAGGCCTGGGAAAGATCCCGTCCCTGACAGAGTCTTTGGCTTCTCTGCCCTGGATGAGCATAGTGGGTAGAGACAGTACTGGCTGCCCTTACCTGAATCAGGGCCAGGGTCCAGCTGGCCACAGCTTATTGCCATCCCCTTGACTACAGGTCTGACTGCCTCATCAAGACCATCCGCTCTGAGGGCTACTTCGGCATGTACAGGGGTGAGGCTTTGGGGATAGACGGCAGACGGGTCTGGCTGGGAGCAGGGACAGGGATGCATGCCTGGGCTTGGTCTGTAAGTATAGACGTGTTATGTGGTGCTGGTAGCACCTGAGCACAATGGGGGCACCTGCCAACCCTTCATGCTGGGGAGATTGGATGTCTGAGGGGATAGTCTTCTGCAGGGTGGCAGGTCTCCACCCTCACCTGAACACCCTGCTATCTTCTACTGGAAGAGCAGGACAGGTTTTGTTTCTCCTTCTCTATCCTAGTGGCTCAGGTCTCCTCCACTACTTCATGTGACAGGCTGGACCACATCTGTGCCTAGAGACCAGGGGCATTAAACAAAGCAGCTTAGAAAACAATCCCTGAGGGTGGATTTGCCCAGATGCTGTGTAGCCCTGAGCCCTCAGCTCTGATCAGCTGTCCACAGCCTTCCCTGAGCCCTGACCCATACTGTGGTCCTGCCAGTGGGCGCACCTGTCCCCAGGAGGAAGTCCCACCGTAGTCTCAGGGGCCTGCTCCTCATTGCCTCTTAGGAGAGGCTCCTGTTCTGCCAAAGCCAGAGACAGATGGAGGTGGAATGCTGGGGAGGAGGACACAGCGCCACCCCATCCTGCCTGGTTCCCGCCTGCCTGGCACAAAACAAACCCATATGTGGGTGAGAGGGCAGGAGGCTGCAGCCAAGGAGTGGCAGGCAGGGCTTTGCCAGTGTGGAGCAAAGCAAGCGCTATCCCACAGCCTCCCCAACCCAAGCTACCCAGCAAGTCTATCCCCACCTGACCTGCCTGTATCCCCCAAGCCTCAGCTGACCCTCAGATGCCCCACAGGAGCAGCAGTTAATCTGACCCTGGTCACCCCTGAGAAGGCTATCAAGTTGGCTGCTAATGACTTCTTCAGACATCAGCTCTCCAAGGATGGGTGAGAGGCTCGGCCACGCTGGCTGCTGGGGTCTAGGTCCTAAGGAGGGGTGTGTTGCTAATCCCACCCATCCCCCCAGCAGTCCCCTAGACTGATACCAGACCCCAGAGTCTCTTCTACCTCAGCCCCTTTGCTCAACATCTCTGACCTTGTGGGGGCGGGCACTTCCCTGCTGCCCACGTGAGGAGGTGCAAGGCAGCTGCTGAGTCAGTGTCTCTTGGCCCCTAGCCACTGTCTGCTGCCAGAATTTGGGGGCATTGAGCAGTTACCCCATCACTGGAGTGTGGGGGTACAAGGTTGGCCCCTTCTGTTCCCCATTTCTCTTTATGAGCCCCTTGCGTATGAAACCATCTGTCCTTTGGGCTGGATGCCTGTTGCTGGAGAGTCTGGAGCCCAAGGCTGTGCCCCCATGGGACCTCCACAGTTCCCATCCCCCTTTACACCAGTGAATCAGACTGTCCCTGACCCATGTAGGGAGTTGTTCCTCATCACCTCAATCATAGTCCTGCCCCTACCCTACAGACAGAAGCTGACCTTGCCTAAGGAGATGTTGGCAGGCTGCGGGGCTGGCACCTGCCAGGTGATTGTGACCACCCCCATGGAGATGCTGAAGATCCAGTTGCAAGATGCAGGCCGCATTGGTAAGGTGCAGGGAGGGGAAAGAGCCTGGGTGGGGACAACAGCTAGACCCTGTCCCCTGCCCCTTCCCCAAGCCAGGAGGAAGAGACCAGAGATCCTTTCTCACCAGCTGCTCAGAGGAAGATCCTGGCTGCCCAGGCTCAGCTCTCAGCCCAGGGAGGTGCCCAGCCCTCAGTAGAGGCTCCAGCCGCTCCTCGACCCACAGCCACCCAGCTGACCCGTGACCTGCTGCGGAATCATGGCATCGCTGGCCTCTACAAGGGACTGGGGGCCACGCTACTCAGGTGGAGAGATGGACATGTGGGAAAAGGAGGACTGCCTGCTAGCTCCTCCCCTCTCACCAGCATCCTCCTTCCTCCCAACAGGGATGTCCCCTTCTCCATTGTCTACTTCCCCCTGTTTGCCAACCTGAATCAGCTGGGCCGCCCATCTTCTGAGGAGAAGTCGCCATTCTATGTGTCCTTCCTGGCAGGCTGCGTGGCTGGGAGTGCAGCCGCCGTGGCTGTCAACCCTTGTGATGGTCAGTGTTTGGGGCTGGGCCCCTCACCATTGGGGGTTGGGGCAGGAGCCCCCATAGTGACTCATATGTCTCTTGTAGTGGTGAAGACTCGGCTTCAGTCACTTGAGCGAGGTGTCAATGAGGACACTTACTCTGGGTTTCTGGACTGTGCAAGGTGGGCCAGGTTCCATGAGCTGGGACTGGGCTGGGACAGGGCTGGGACTGGGCTGGGCTGGGCACCAGTTCTGACTTTTTCCTCCCTTACAGGAAGATCTGGAGACATGAGGGCCCCTCAGCCTTCTTGAAAGGTGCATACTGCCGTGCACTGGTCATCGCCCCGCTGTTTGGCATCGCCCAGGTGGTCTACTTTCTGGGCATCGCTGAGTCCCTGCTGGGGCTGCTGCAAGAACCCCAGGCCTGAGCCCATGGCTGCTTCTCCCCAGCCTATGGGCAGGGGCCAGAACAGGGTGACCAGCACAAGCCTGAGGAGGAATGGTCTCTCCCCAGTCCTCCCCATCAAACAGGAAGGCAAGGGGAGGGTGTAGGGTCCACATGGGTGGTTCACACATAGCCCCCGTGTGGTCCTGAAGGGACAAAACATTGGGATCAAGGTCTTATTTATGTAGAAAATGCAGAAATCTGTACATTCCTCAAGCCAGTCCTGTCGAGCCAGTTCTGTCCCATCCTTGTACCTCAACCTAGTCCCACCTGGCCTGAACACCCCATGAGACAGAGCTGGTCTCTGGGCTGGGGCCCCCAGGCCTGGTTTGGGCAGGCAGACCCTACCCTGTAGTCCACTGGCTCTGATCTCTGGGCTCTCCTGGTCTACAAAGGGGACCCACACACACCCAGAATTATTTATTGAGTTAGCTGTGCCCACGTGGCTCTGCCTGTCCTCCGTCCATCCGTCTTTGCCCCTGCTGCTCTTCCCACCTCATCCAGGACTCCACTCTGCCTCCCCAGCCAGCCTTACAGGAGGCTCGGAGTGTCTTTGCCTCATGTCACGCTAGGATTCCTAGGCTGGGTGTGCTGCCACATTCAAGTGTCGCCCCAGGCACCCCACACATACTCTTCCTCCTGAGCCTTTGGACCCCCACCATGTGGGACCCAGATTGCTTGAGATCTTTGTGTGCCTGTGGTGGGCAGTTTGCTCCCCCACCCCTAGCAGTCAGCTGGCCAGGCTGCTTGGGGATGGACGAGCCCATAAGGGCACAGTTGCCTTTCCCCATGGAGTCAGGCACCCTGTGCTTGTGTGCTGTTTGTGCCTCAGGACTCTATTGCTGACCCCGTCCAATAATTTAGTTCTCCAGCCTGGTAACTCTTCTGATAGAGCCCCACTCCTGGACAGAGATTGCTTGTGGGGGAAGGGCAGGCATGAAGGCCAGTATGGAGCCTGGGCCTCCCAGCTCTCTGGGCCTCTGTCCATGTTTGGAAAGCCCCACCCTTCCAGCCCTGGCTCCTCTGTTCTGAATCAAAGCAGTCCTCCCCTGCCCTGGCCATGTGATTGTGTTTGGTGATTGACTGAAGTGCTGGTGCTGTGTCCCTCAAGCCCAACCCCCTCCATGGAGGCCCCTTCCCAGTGACACTACCTGGGGCTCAAATCTGGGCTGCCCCTAGTTCACGGTTGCTCCTGGGAGCCACCCCTCCTATTATGTCTGTACCTTGAAAGCTGCTGCTGCTGCTTACAGAATTATATTTTTTTTCTTTTGAAGAGTTTTAAGAAGTTGTAACTTTTTGTGTCTTGTCATGTAAAAGATAAATAAATATTCTAAATAGATGCCTGCTTTCAGAGTCTGTGCTTCGGTGGGACGGTGGGGAGAAGACGGACAGCGAAACTAGAAACTAGCCAGGTTTTTTGTGCAGACCAGCATTGCCCAGGTCTCCACCCTTGCAGACTCCTAACTCACAGTCTGGATAGGATACAGTCAGGCAACCTTGCCCCGCCTTCTGGTTACGGCTCCTCAGATGTGAGAAGTGAAGCTAGGCATAGGGACATCCCACCTCACCCCTACCTCCGGGTTCCCAGGGTGTAGCAGGCGTGGCCCCGCTTACGCAGCTGTCCCCGCCCCTTGCCTCTGGTCCTGCTGTCTTGCGCCTGGAGTGGTGCATTGTGGGAAACTCCTGAGCACTCCTCGGTATCCGCAGCCACCGCCCGCTGTCATCCCGTGAAGCGAATGCGCAGCGAGAAGCTGGAGGCCCCAAAGAAGACGTAAGGTGACAGGCTCTTCTGAGGACGGGCAAGGACAGGGAGGTAGGGTGGGATTGGGGTCGCTGAGTCTTGTGGCCAAGCAGTAGTGCATTGGCCTTGAAGGTCACTGGGGTTGTGGTGTGAGCACCTTACTCTCCCGGGCTCAGCAGCCCTGGGGAGGCAGAAGAGGCAATTGGAAGGATAGAATGTAAATGTAAGCCGAAAATAACCAAGGACAGTTAACTGCTGTGTGTAAACTTGATGCTAAATGGCTAAGGCCTCTCCCGAAATGTAACGTGGAGGAGCTTCCTGGGAGGTGGGCAGCACCTGCGTTTCTGTACTGGTTATCTCCATCACGGTGTGACCTTCAAATGACCTTCGGTGTGTTCACTGTGCCTGGTAGGGGGGCTTGGAGCTTGAGCTTCTCAAATGGCCGCACACAGGCCATTTATCCTCCTGGGGTAGAGGCAGACAGGTGGCCCTGAGTCTTCCAGACTAGAGCCTCTGTGCAGCAGGGTGGGCAGGCCCCAGTCTCCCCCACTAGGATAGGAGAATCAGGGTGAGGTCTTTACTCTGCATTGCCCCAGGCAATGCTGCCAGGGACCCTCAGCTCCTGTAGCACGGCCTTGAGCTCAGCAAGGAACCCTTGCCCTTGAGCTGGATGAAGCTGTGACCCGTATTGGGGAAAGGGCACTGGATCGAAGCTGGGTGGGGCAGATGGCTGACCAGAAGCACAGGCTAGCAGATTCCCTAATGGCTTCTCTGCCTCCATTTTATCACTTCCTGGTGACCTGGATCTACTCTCCGTCTGACAGTCTGAGAACCCAGACTCTGGGCTCTTTCCCTGTCCTTCCCTTCCTCTTAGTCTCTCCTCAAGCTGAGACCAAGTCACCATAGCATCCCATTCTGTGAAATAGCAACAAGCTCTGGAGATAGCATGTAGCACTTAGCTCTGACAGTGCTCACCATGACTCCTGCCTGTCTCCCTTGAGCAAATACTCTCCCTTGCAGTTTGTAGGGTTAGAGCCATATTTCTACAACAGAGCCTTTCTACCCCCCCACTGTGGGATAGACACAGTTCGTGTGTGACAAGACTGGATTATAGGTTAGGAAACTGAGCCCTTTGGTCTCAGGAGTTGGAGGGGTTTCTCCAAGAATGGTCAGAAGGAGATAGAGGCCAGGCCTTGGAAGAGGAGGGAGTAGACCCACAGGATGCTCCTCAGTTGGAGCTTCTAGAGAATTCAGGGAATTGGGAATGTTATCTCTACGGGGGCAGGGGCAGATGAGCTATACAGAAGGAGTGCTGTCCCTTGTCACCATCTCACTTGTGTCTCCCTCCAGACCCATATAATGCCCAGAGGTGAGCTATCCTGAGCCACTGTGGTCTAGCCACCTGCCAGTCACACAAGCCCAAAACCAGCTGCCAGCAAAAATCATCATGGAGTCCCGAGGAAAGTCAGCCGGCAGCCCAAAGCCAGACACCAAGGTGCCTCAGGCCACAGCTGAGGCCAAGCCCACTCCAGCTGCTGATGGGAAAGCTCCCTTGACCAAGCCTGTGAAGAAGGACACCCAAGCAGAGAAGCAGGAGCAACCAGCAGCCCCTGGGCCAGCCACTACCAAGAAGACACCAGCCAAGGCAGATCCTGTACTTCTCAACAATCACAGCAACCTGAAGCCAGCTCCCACTGTGCCGGCAGCCCCCAGCAGTCCTGATACAACCTCAGAGCCCAAGGGTCCTGGGGATGGGGCAGAGGAGGACGAGTCCAACACTGGAGGCCGAGGTCCCTGGCCTTGTGAGAACTTGACCCCTTTGCTGGTGGCTGGGGGTGTGGCCGTGGCCACCATAGCCCTAATTCTTGGTGTAGCCTTCCTAGCCCGGAAAAAATGATACCTGGTGTCCAGGTCAGGACACAAACCACTTTCTGTACAGACCTGAATATATAGTGCATGCAAGGTCCTAGATATTTATCTATACATATACATAACACACACATACACACACACACACACACACACACACGTATATGTATGCTACATACATCCGTGCAGCAGGAAAGAAATAGACAGTGAGCCCACCTCCACTGACCCCAGCACGCCCTCTCCCAAGTAGTTCTGGGGTAGGAGCCGCCCAGCTATGCAGCTTGCAGGAAGCACTAGCATGGAGCAAAGGGGATAGCTTGGACAAGATAACTAGGAATAGATGCTGGGTGTGGCCTCTGAAAGATAATGCTAGAATAGGCTGGTCCTGTGGGGACACTAAAGGGCATGGCTGTTTTACTCTCCCCACTTGTCTTTTGAGCAGCCAGGAGCAGTCTGTCTGGGCCTGATGCTGGGAGACTGACCTGAGGGTGGGAATCAAATCTGCAGAGCTACCTCTACCCACTGTCCCTGTCCTGGTTGAATGGAAAAGGCAAAGCTTGACAGCTGAAGTTGGGATGGGGTCCCCACCCCCTCCTTTTTTTTTAAATGTACACCCCAGGAGAGCTCCTGAGGCTAGGACCACCTTACTTCCTGCCCAGAGCAGCCAGTTTTCCGGGGGAGGGGTGGTGCCTGATAGGAAGGCAGGAAACATGGAGGAGCCACAGTACAGTTCTGCCTGCCCAATATTCCCAATACTGTCCTTCCTGCCTGCACCCAACACCCCCTTGAGTTTAACAGCGTATAAATGCAATAACACAGGTAGAGTAGAACTGCCCAGTGAGTGGCAATCACTCACTGTCTGCAGGAAGACCTGCTGTGCAGCCCTTCTTTAGTGCATCTGGCCCCAGCTTGCCCCTTGGTGTGGTGACAGTGGGCAGCTTCCCAGAAAACTGCAGTGGGCTCTAAGGAAACATTGTCCTCACCTGGCCAGCAGCGGCGAGGACCTTGGGCCTGAGTGGAGGCTGAGTCTGAAATAAACCGTTACAATATAAAGGCTGGGCTGGTGTCCTCACCTGCATGGGGCTGGGAGTGGCAAAGACTTCCCACTGGGGTATGCGTGGGCCACAGTCATTGTGTAGGCTTTCCAGGGAACAGGGAGAAGTCTGACGTCCTCCTTCATGCTCTGATCATTATGGGCTACACGTGCCTACAGCTCCAACCAGACCCTCCCCCATCCCAGGTACTCCCTCCCTGGCCTCTGTGGGAGCCTGAACCCAGATGGGCATTTAGGAACTTCACAATGATAATTGTGTCTGTTCCACCCCACCATGTCCCCACCCACCCAAGGCCTGGGCTGCTACTCACAGTGTACTGGGACACAGGCTTTGCTCCTCAGAACCTGTGCCAGCAAGGAGGGCCCCTCTACTATGAGATGCAGGAGAAGCTGAGGTCAGGTCCCTCTCTAGTCACCTTGGTTCCACAGCTCCCTGAGCCTATTCTGCCGTAGTGTGTTCAGCACATGGGAACTGTGAGTGAGGCTGTCAGGTAGTGGGCTGCAAAGCCCAAGGCTCATTTGGGATTATATCATCCTGGGCCCCACCTTTCCATCCTAGGGGCCGCTGAGGCTGGCAGGCAAGTTTGTTGACCTGCTCCTCCGAGGCTTTCTTTGAGCTGGCATTTTTTTGTTTGTTTGTTCTGTTTTGTTTCCAATCTCTTGGTAACCACCCTGCTCAGAGAAGTAGCTCTGCCCGAATAACACATCCCATCCAAATCTGGACAACTCCAACAGGATGAAGACATTTGAAATGAGCACCTGGCCTTCTTCAGACCACTCTTCCTAGTCTCCCTTTGACCACTGTCAGTACAGACTGTCTCTTTCAAGTCCAGGCTGGCTCCTGCCTGACTCAAGAATTCCTGAAGAGGGTTCTGGACATGCCGGACACACAGCCACCTCCAGCTCATCTGCACTGCAGGTGCCAAGGCTGCCTGCGCTGCCTGGTGGACATTCGCTGCGTCACCCAGTACTCCCATCCACCCATCCTTTGCCTTGCACTTAAAACACATAAGCTCCTCAGGCATTGCATTGCACTGGGAGGCTGCAGAGGTGGTGGCTGTGAGCGTCTGCTGTGGTGAACCACTGAAAGCTGGCACTTTTAAGTGATATTCTGCTCATGCTGTTGCTCCTTATTCTCTATTGAAGTACCTTTAGGTTGTTTTTTAAAACATTGGTGCCTGGGGCGAGAGACATGGCTCACCAGTTAAAAGCATTAACTGCTCTTCCAGGGGACCTGGATTGGATTCCCAGCACCTACATAGTGCTTAACAACCATTTGTAAAGGATCTGATGCTTTCTTCTGGCCTCCCCCAGGTAATCGGCACACACATGGTACACAGACATACAGGCCAAACACCCATACATGTAAAAATTAGTTAAAATGTTGGTGGCTTGAGAGATGGCTCAGTGGTTAAGATCACTGACTGCTCTTCCAGAGGACCTGAGTTTGGTTCTCAGAACCTACATGATAGCTTGCAACCTGTAACAGCAGTTCTAGGGAACTGAGCTACAGATACACATACAGGTAAAACACACATATGCACAAAATAAAAGACTTAAATCTCAGTAAAGAGAATACTGGCACCTTTACACAGGGCAGAAATGAAAACTTTGTGAAGCCTTGCTCTGGTTTAGACCTGGAAAGTTCTTTGTAGGCAATGCTGTGTTGCAGACT